CAAGTGACCAGGCTTGCTTTTTTCCCTCCCTTAAAACAAAAAACAGCCCCACAGGAAAACCTGAAGTGACAGCTCGAGTCTAAAATCTGAAGCTTAAAACCAGACGGTATCTACATTATTACAGTTAGGATTCAAGATAGCAATGGCTTCACTGAAATTTGGTCGCTTGAGCAGTGGAAGTTTAAAAAAAGCCCTGCTTCCCTTGCTGAGCCTGGGCAAATGTTAGACTACCAGCCTCATAGGTGATTGTTCTGGTTCCAAAGACAAAAAATAGTGCCTCTCTGAAGAATCAGTCCTGAAACCCTGCCTTAACAGGATGGCAAGGTTAAGGGACACATTCTGCCCCTTCTGAATTCCTTTGCACTGCCTTGACAGTACAGAAGGGGGAGGATGACCCCCAGTGTAGGAGGGGCAGGGACTGCCATCAGCCAAACCTGAGAAAAACACTAGGTGCTCGGAGAGAGGACGGGTGGTGGTCGGAAGGCTGAAACATTCTGCCCACTGCTGCCTGTAGGAAACTGCCATATGGATTGCACCAATGTTCTGTACAAAGTTCGGTATATCCTAACAGGGAGGCCAGAGTTCAGCCTTTACCGACTTAGACACCAAAGTGGCAGGTAGATTAGCAATAGGAAAGGAAAAGGTAGGTTAAAGACACAAACCTACCTGTGGGTACATGCAACTGCAACTGACTTTACCAGGTCACTGTCATTGCAAGCAGCTGCCAGCCCTGAAATAACCTTGTAAAATTTTATGTAAATCTAACAACTTTAAAAAGTCTGCTCACCTGCTTCCTTACCTGAATAACAACAGTAGGAAAAAAAAAAAAGCAAAACTTATCTACACACACACACACACATAAAAAAAATAATCTTTGTAGGAGAGAGAGGAGATACCCCAAAGCCTCTCACTGACTTTACAGTTCAAGCCTGTATCAGTATTTTAAAAAGTATTTCTAACCAAGCTCCAGTTAAGCAGCTTGGCGCATCAGGGATACGTACAGCCATCCAGCACCTTCCACCCGCACAATGCTGTTATCCCACACAAAAAGAAAGATTTCACCTTTTCTGCTTTTTAAATTAGGACAAAAAAAACCCTCTTCCATTTGCATTTAGCATTGATGGCCTCAAACTTCTTCAAAACACCATGAACTTTAACCGTTACACTGTCCTCTGAGGGAGTCACTTCCAAAGAATATTGCTGCTTCCTCTCTATTGTGCCACAAGTCCAGTAAGTGGTTGGGAATCCATGAACTGAGGCATCCACATAAAAAAACAAATTAGGATTAGGTTTTGGACTCCTCATTCAGCTCAAACACCAATGCTGAGCACAGTAAAGAGGATGGGAGGGGCTGCAGGTTACGGTTGGAAGGCAAAGCCCTTTCTCCTACAATCCAGCTGCCCTGGCAGAAGCAACAGGTGATATCATATCCACCGTTACTCCGAGGTTTTGAGCAGAGTTAAGATAGAAGCTAGCAGGCTACAAACTACTCCTGATGAAAGTCCAGGGAACCTTAAAAAAATTAGAAAGATACCAGAAAAATTTAGAAGTCAAATTACTCAGAACAACAGAAGAAAGCTGCATGTATTTTTCCCTATTCTTCCACATCCTTCTGCTAGAAGCTGTTTTTCCAGAGTGAAAGGATATGCTACATCAAGTCTCGTGTGCTCTCTGTGCATTACTCGTGTAGTTTTAAGGCAAAGTGCCTTTGGTGTGTATCAATGATGCGTGCCAGCCTTGCACAGCAACACACTGTTGTGGCTTATTGCTCTGTTTTAACATATAATAATAAAGGACTAGCATAGCTTTGATTGTCATCTCTTTAGATTGTCAGCCAGCATTTCAAGAGGAATGTAAGAAGTTACAGGGTTTTCTTTTTTTTGGGTAGCCGGAAAAAGTTCAGTTAGGGACCAAGACACACATATTTAACTGTCTTAACAGCAGCAAATTATTCCTTCATCTGTGAAGTTGTATTTGACCTAAACCACCGTGCTTTGCTATTAGCCAAGGTATTCCGCACTGATTTCTTTTTACAGTCTCTTTTCACCATGCACAGTTTAGGAAACCGGAGATGTATTTAAGTAACAGAAAACAGTCCTCTATGGCCTAGTAAATAGGGGTTAGAAAACCATTACAAAATTCTTATTGTGTAGGCTATAGGAAAAAAAACAAAACAAAAAACCAACCTTGAAAAACACACAAACCATTCAATCTGTACACATTACACCTCAGTAATGGCTTTGTAGCCACACAGCTTGGTGAAATGTTACTCGATGGGGCTTATCCCACTGTCCAGTAACTACTCATAGTTTAAGTCAGAGATGGAGAAAAGCTTGTCAGACGACAGTCTATTCCCATGTCAATGCAGGATCCTCTGGGGCTTTGTACACTGAACTATGTGTACAGCATTCAGAAAGAGCAACAGTTGTTCCAAAACTTATCTTCAGTTTCTGCCTGGAGTGTCCCCCTTTGCTGCAATTTAGCATAATGAATAAATCAAGGGTCTTCTTCCATGTCATCTGGATTAGGAGCCATAATAAAATGCTGGGGGTACTCAAGGTTGTGTTCATAAGCATGTTCTTTCCAGCGTGCATCATCACTCTCATGGGTAATGTAACGCTCTCCAATGCGTGTTTCAAATTCTCTGAGGTCCAGCCAAGTCTGATAATCCTAAGGAGTAAAAGAGATTTAAGGAAGCAGTTTAAGAACAGCAGCATATTCCCACAGATAAATTCTGCAGTTTGTCTCTTCTTTTAGTATAAATAGCCACATGATATAATCAACAAGATCTGTTAAAAAAAAAAAAAACAAACCACAAAAAACCAAACCACAAACACACAAGAACACCCTCCCTCCAAAATACCCCAGAGTGCCCACAAAGAATGGTTCCAAATTAAATAGGCTAGTACCTAAGGTTGTAATACTGTAAATCATGAAAACTTTTTGTAACGAGACAGCTATGTTAGCTTTATTATAAAATTAATTGTATATATACATATACATTAAATTATACTCATTCCAATATTGTTTGTACTCCAAATTAATTGGACTTTCCACTTAACATCTTTTAAGTTATTTGTGTGCATGGATATTGTGAAACCATTGTGAAAGGAACCTGGACCAAACAAGCAGATAAATTCCATTCCAAAGAATTCTCTTCTAAAATGACTACAACTTGCAGCACACACCAGCTTGTGTGTCCACTTCAGCACTGAACAAACAATGTTTGTCTTGATACCGATTTCAGTGGGGCTCCATGCACTCATCACTGCCCACGTTCAGGAGAGGTGTCAGAGGAGTAAAACTCTATGTTGATGTCAGACAGAAAGTAAGAGGCAGGAGGGACAGTAAGACAAAATTTTCCTTGAGGAAAGAAGCCCTTAACAGACAGGCAGAATCCTGGAGCACATAAAATGCAAAGCTAAAAACAGACATACTCAAACCTCCATGAATGCTTGTTAACAGACTTTGATAGTGGCAGTTTTAATAAGCCTCTGAAGAATTAAAAAAAAAAAAAAAAAAGAAAAAAAAAGAGAAAATCATTATTCACCCATTATAAACATCATGAAAAAGGCACACGGGTTTACCTGTAACCACGGGTGACTAAGGGATTTGTCAACACTGAAACGTTTTCTCATCTTCACTTGAAGCAAATTGTTTATTAAATCAATGGCTGACAAAGAAGAACAGAACAAAAATTATATTTTTTAAATATTAATCACCTCTATCATCATTCACATGCTGCAGTGCAAGCAAATCTCTGTGTGTGTGTGTGTGTATCCTACTGAACTCTTTTAAACTTAATCAAGTTCTTGAATTCTATATTTAGTTTTACTTATGTTAAATGAGGCTACAAAATAGGTATAGGGTAAGCTTCCCCCTGCTTTGATGGAAACACTAAAAGCTTTACTATATTACTCGTTAATCTTTTTCCCTACTGATTTTAGTGATTTTCAGAAATGCCTTGACTTGAGCATAATCCTGTGTTCCAAAATGATGTAGGTACTTCCACTATTGTATACTTTTGTGTATGTACTTCCACATCTACCTGTGTACTAATCATATATACATTACTAGTAACAAAGCTGGCACTGGAGAGTTCTAGAGACCAACCTCATAAACTTCCAGATTGTTCAAAGCTGACATTCAGATCCAGGTTCTGTTTCACCTGCTAATGTACAAAACTAAAATTCCACATTCAACTTTGAACCATTTCTGTAATTCTAGTTTAGATGAAATATGTTTTGAGATCAAGATTCAGCAAACACTCACACGATTTAACTTTTCATTGGGGATTTTGGGAAGTTTCAGGTTATTCATCCCATTCCTCATGCATGCAATTAATTTTTCTTGCTAAATCTATTTGGTTCCTCCTGCCCTGAAAGCGATCTAAAACATTATATTTGACAATTTATCTTTCACAAATATATGCCAGCTCATATTTATCTATTTTGACATAGTCTACTAAACTCAAACTATCAATAGTTCTCACACTTCTATCTGAATGAAGCTTGAGGTTTAAGCATTTGAATGCATTATCTACATATAAAGACATTCTAATAGAGAAAATTAATTTCTTTACCTTCACTAGAAATTTCCTTCCAAGGATTTGGTGGGTACATAAACGCTGCATTTTGAATCTGATCATTTATATCCTCATCTTCATTAAATGGGAATGTACCACTAAGGCTCACATAGACAATAACTCCTACTGACCACATGTCTAGAGAGCGGTTGTAACCTTTACTCCTGAGCACTTCAGGGGCAAGATAAGCAGGTGTCCCCACCACAGAGCGCCTGAAAGATTTTTCACCAATGATACGTGCAAAGCCAAAATCACACAGCTTCACCTGCAAAAGGAATATATTTTAAACTGAGAAACCTCTGCTTCATCTCCAAAGCATGCTACTGCCCAAGACCAGAGCAGTACTCGATACTGTTTTTGACATCATTTAAACATCTACGCACTGAAACAAAGACAAAATGTTACCTAAGCCAGTCAGTTACGGTTTTAGGTTGCTGGTTTTGCAGACTGTGGATCAACCATGCTTCAGACTGAGCCCTGAACTGGCCTTGCACAGACTCAGGTCTGAGGCAGTCTGTGTAGTACATGACCACAAGTGTGCAAATAAGGACAAAAAAAAAAAAAAAACCAACTTGATTCCAAACTCAGCTCATTTTCCAAGGCAAATCCACACCCTCACAAGGCACAGAACCAAAATTTAAAAAAGCACCTGAGTCCCAGCCAGACTACATTCTTCTTAATCATATTCCTGAAGCTGGAGGCTTCAGCTACAGAGAAATCAAATGATGCATTTTAACTAGAACTCAGACCCAGCCAGCTCTGAGCAGAACAGTCCAATAATCATCCAGGTAAAAAGCATCAAGAGCTGATGGCTGCACTGATGCACAAGTCTTCATGGTTCTGGGATGGTTCCTTCATTTGAACACAGCAGACACTTGTACAGAAAAAAAAGGATCCAGATCAAGTCCAACACTAATCCCAAGTTAGTGGGGCTTATTAGCCCTCCTCAGGGTATAGGAAAGAGCAGTGCACTAAATGTACACAAATGACTCTCCAAAAGTCCACTCTACTTTGCATTAATGTCACAGGACTGGAAGCAGTTCCCTGATGCTGCCTAGCAGATTTTAATTGCTGTATATCCTCCACAAAATCCATACTATCCAAGGTATCTAAGGTAATAGCTGACTGGGGTAAGTGTTGACAGTACATAAATACTAGTATCGCTGAACAGTACTTCTCTTAAAGAAATGAGCTATTTAGTTTATATTTAGTTTACATAATGATGATGAAGATCCCTGAGCAAGACCAGTGACAAATGAGCCAGTCCCTTTTCACAACAGCTTATAAGCAAGACAGACAAGAGTGAGGAGAAGGAGATGTACAACAGGGAAGAAATTGTTTCCCAGGGTTCAACAGTACTGGAACAGGAACGAGGACTGGTCTTGAAGCTTCTTGTCCTGTGCCTTTTCCACTGGACTATTCTCACTAACCCAGAATACCAATTTCCATGCACTCTTCACAAGCATAAAAATAGATGCAGTCTACACAGCCTTTTGCTAAGTCCTGGCAGTAATTGTACTTCTCAGGCTCGTTGGAATAAAGAATGCTGGAGCACAGCGTTGTTGTGAGACATGATCCATGTCTGAGGGGAAAGAAACTGAAATGGAACTCTGAGCATAAAGGTAGGCCAAAAGTTGGAAGGAAAATAAAAAACCCCCCACAACTGTAACACATGTAGTTCAAGTAATTTTAGTCTAAGTTGAACAATCCCACAAGAGGTGACCTTTTAAGCTGCAATGCATATGTTTCTTTAAAAAAAGAACAACAAAAAGTGATGAAAGAAATATTTTTTAATCTTCACTCACTTGAGGGAATGGCTCTGCTGATGCTAGTAGTACATTTTCTGGTTTTAAATCACAGTGCACAATATTCTTGAAGTGTAAATTCCTCAAAGCAACAAGTATCTACAAAAAGGACAGAACATTTTCAGAACTATTCAAGTGGATCAAAAGTGTCAAAAGCCACACACACTAAGCAATACAGTAATTTGTATCAACACAGCCTTCAAGAATTAACCTGTATATACTGTGCAAGTACTATTTTTTTCCAGCCTATCAAGACTTGGAACTGATGGTTTTGATATTCCTTCCCCTCCCCCCC